TGCGGGGCTCGATCCCAGGACCCTGAGATCATGACCTGAGCCAAAGGCAGACGCTTAACGACTGAGCCACCCAGGCGCCCCTATTTGAATTTAAGTTGAATTGAAGTGTGGTGTGTTCACCAGTGCATTGGATCTTTTTTTTTTTTAAGTGTTTCTTGTTTTGTTTTGTTTTTCGTGTCGTTGGCACAGCAGTGCTACGTCAGTTTCCGGTGTGCAGCGTAGTGCTTCACCTTCCCTGTGTCTTACGCTGTGCTCACCACAAGTATAGCTACTGTCTGTCCTCATACACTGTTACAGTACCGTTGACTGCATTCCCTGTGCTGTGCCTTGTATGCCTGTGACTGATTCATTGCAGAACTGGAAGCCTGTGTCGCCCAGTCCCCTTTACCTTTTCTGCCCATCTCCCTACTGCACTTCTCTCTGGCAACCATTAGTTCTCTGTATTTATAGGTCTGATTCTGCTTTTTGTTTGTTCATTTGTTTTTTAGATTCCACATATAAGTGAAATCATATGGTATTTGTCTTTCTCAGTCTGACTTACTTCACCTAGCATCATACCCTCTAGATCCATTCATGTTGTCACAAATGGCAAGATGTCTTCCCTTTATGGCTGTGTAATATTCCAGTGTGTGTGTGTGTGTGTGTGTGTGTGTGTGTGTGTGTCTCACATCTTCTTTATCTACTCATCTATCAGTGGACACTTAGGTTGCTTCCATATCTTGGCTAATGTAAATAATGCTGCAGTAAACATAGGGATGCATGTGTCCTTTATAATTAATGTTTTCATTTTCTTTAAGTAAATACCCACTAGTGGAATTACTGGATCATATGGTATTTCTGTTTTTAATTTTTTGAGGAGCCTCTGTACTATTTTCCACAGTGGCTGTGCCTCTTTTTGTCTTTTGTTAACATTTGAATCATGAAATGACTGAGCCGAAGTACATGAATATTTTTATCAGCCCTTAATATATCGTGCATTCCAAAAAGTTTCTAAGTATTAACAGTGCCAAGTATGCAAGTGTGCTATGCTCAGGACACCTTGCTTTAGTAATGCCAGTTAGGTAGGATGTTTGTTGTTAATCAGTTTAAATGGTACTTTGGTTTGCTGTTCATTTGTTAATCATTTATTCCTAAAATAATTAATAGCTTTGCATGTGTTTACTTTTGATATTTTGGGGTTTATCTTTTAAAATTTGCTTTCATTAAATCTTGAATAGATTCAATATAGCATTTATAACATTTGCTATTAAAGAGCAGGGAGAAAAGAATCATGTACCTACCCACCCTGCTTAAGAAATAGCATTCTCATTGCTTTGAGATCCCCTCCTCATATGTTCTTCTCTGATAGCATCTCTCCTTTCCTTTAGAGGTAACCACTATCATGAATTTCATATTATTTCCTTTATTGTCTTTATCATTTTATCATAAATGAGTGTATCCCTTAATAATACACTACTTTGTTTCACATGTTTTTTATATAAATGAACAGTGAATACAATTGTGACTTGCTGTTTTCAGTGTTTGTGAGATATACCTATAATGTTGCTTTATTTTTATATATTATGTTGTATGACTATGCCATGATTTATTCATTTTCTGTTGGTGGATATTTGGTGGTTTCCTGTGTTTTTGTTTTTACAAAACAAAATAGTTACAAAGAGTACTATTCAAATATCCCTCTATTTCTGAATTGACAAGAGATTTTCCAGGAGTTACATACCTAAGAGTAGTGTTGGTTCATAGGTTCAACTTCAACCAGATAATGCCACTTTTTTCCCCAAAGTGTGTAAGCTGTTACACATAAAGGAGCTACAAAAAGAAAAAACCCAAAACCGGCAAAAAGAAAGGAAATAACAAAGATTAGAGCAGAGGTAAATGATACGGAAACTAGAATAAACAATAGATCAATAAAACCAGGAACTAATTCGGGCGCCTGGGTGGCTCAGTCGGTTAAGCGTCTGCCTGTGGCTCAGGTCATGATCCCAGATTCCCGGGATCGAGTACCACATCGGGCTCCCTGCTCAGCGGGGAGTCTGCTTCTCCCTCTCCCTCTGTGATCTCTCTCTCAAATAAATAAATAAAATCTTAAAAAAACACACACACAAAAAAAAACAAGGAGCTAATTCTTTGAAAAGATCAGAATTGATAAACTTTCACCAAACTCAACAAAAAGAAAAAAGAGAGAGAGGACTCAAATAAGCAAAATCATAAATGAAGAGGACAAATAACAACCAACACCACAGAAATATAAACAATTACAAGAGACTATTATGATAAATTGTGTGCCAACAAACTTGAAAGCTTAGAAGAAATGGATGAATTCCTAGAAATATAACAGCCTACCAAAATTGAAGCAGGAAGAAATAGAAAATTTGAACAGACTGATTACCAGGAATGAAATTGAATCCATTAAAAAAAAACAAAAAAACCTCCCAACAAATTAAAGTCCAGGACCGGATGGCTTCACAGGTGAATTCTACCAAATACTTAAAGAGTCAATGCCTCTTCTTCTCAAACTACTCCAAAAAATAGAAGAGGAAGGAAAACTTCCAAAATCATTTTATGAAGCCAGTATCATCCTGATACTAAAACCAGATAAAGACACCACAAAAAAAGAGAACCACAGGCCAATATCTCTTATGAACATAGATGCAAAAATCCTCAACAAAATACTAGCAAACCGAATCCAACAATAACGTTAAAAAAAAAAAAATCATTCACCACAATCAGGTGGGATTTATTCCCGGGATGCAAGGGTGGTTTAGCATTCTCAAATCAGACAACATGATACATCACATTGATGAGAGAGGATAAAAACTATAGGATCATTTCAGTAGGTGCAGAAGTATTTGACAAAGTACAACATCCATTCATGATAAAAACCCCCAACAAACTAGGTCTAGAGGGAACAAACATACCTCAACATAATAAATTGATAAGGAAGAAGTAAAACTTTATTTGCAGATGACATGATACTATATATAGAAAACCCTAACAATTCCACCAAAAAAACTACTAGAACCAGTAAACGAATTCAGTGAAGTTTCAGGGTACAGAATCAATGTACAGAACTCTCTTGCATTTTTATACATTAATAATGAAGCAGCAGAAAGAGAAATTAAGAAAGCAATCCCATTTACAGTTGCACCAAAAATAATAAAATACTTCGGAATAAACCGAAGAGGTGAAAGACCTATACTCTGAAAACTATAAAACGTCAATGAAAGAAATTGAAGATGACACAAAGAAATGGAAAGATGAAATGGTCATGGAAGCACACACACACAAAAATTGCTACCCAAAGCATTTTACAGATTTAATGCAATCTCTGTCAAAATACGAACAGCACTTTTTTTTTAAGTTTTATTTAAGTAATCTCTGCACCCATTATGGGCCTTGAACTCATGACCTCGAGATCAAGAGTTGCTCACTTTTCCAACCCACCAACAGCATTTTTCACAGAACTAGAACAAATAATCCTAAAATTTGTATGGAACAACAAAAGACCCCAAATAGCCAAAGCAATCTTGAAAAAAAAGAACAAAAAACTGGAGGTATCACAATTCCAGACTTAAGCTATATTACAATGCTGTAGTAATCAGAGCAGTATGGGACTAGCACAAAAGTAAACACATAGATCAGTGGAACAGAGTAGAAGACCCAGAAGTAATCCCACAATTATATGGTCAATTTGTCTTCAATAAAGGAGGAAAGAATATGTCATGGAAAAAAGTCTCTTCAACAAATGGCATTGGGAACACCCAACAGCTATATGCAAAAGAATGAAATGGGACCACTGTCTTTCACCACACACAAAAATAAACTCAAAATGTGAGACCCAAAACCATAAAAATCCTAGAAGAGTACAGACAGTAATTTCTTTGACATCAATCATAGCAGCATTTTTCTAGATATGTCTCCTAAAAGCAAGGGAAATAAACTAGCGGGAACACATTAAAATCAAATGCTTCTGCACAGCGAAGGATTCAGTCTTTTCTTTATGACTGCTGCTTTTTGTATCTTAAATTGACTTTTTCACTGAGGTCATAGTATTTTTTATTTTATTTTTAGATTGATTGATTGATTTGACAGAGAGAGAGCACGCGCACAAGCAGGAGGAACAGCAGAGGGAGAGGGAGAAGCAGACTCTTCGCTGAGTGGGGAGGCTGATATGGGGCTCGATTCTAGGAGGACCCAGGGATCATGACCCTTAGCTGAAGGCAGACGCTTAACTGACTGAGCCACCCAGGTGCCCTGGTCATAGTAGTATTCTATATTGACTTCTAAAACCCAGTATAATGGTATCTCTAAAACTCAGTGTAGGTTAGGGGCACCTGGGTTGCTCAGTGGTTTGAACTTCTGCCTTCGGCTCAGGTCGTGATCCCAGCCCCATGTTGGGCTCTCTGCTCATTGGGGAGCCTGCTTCTTCCACTCCCTCTGCCTACCGCTCTGCCTACTTGTGTTCTCTCTGCCAAAGAAATAAATAAAATCTTAAAAAAATAAAACTCAATGTAGGCTAAAAACAGGGGAAGAAGGCAAAAATGGCTTTTTAATTTTTATTTTAAATCCACTTGCATTTGATTTTTGAGTGGTTCAAGGTAGGGATTAGTTTTTTTTGTCCATTCTGATGATTGGTGATTATCTTGATACCATTTATTAATTGTGGCATGAATTGGGGTCAGATTTCTTTTCCCTATGGATATCCAGTTGACACAGCACCACTTATTTCAAAAATTGCCCTTTCTCTTCTGCTTTGCAGTATTGTTATAAATCAGGTGCTCATGTTGGTATCCATCTGTTTCTGTGATCTTTATTATCTTCCATTATTCTGTTTCTCCTTGAGCCAATATCATGCTTTCTTAATTACTGCAGCTTTGTAATAAACTTTGATATCTGGTAGAGCAATTTCTGTCACCTTTTGTTCAAGGACTATTTTGGACCCTTTTCCCTAAAGGAAAACTAATAACCTAAAACTAATAACCTGAATCTGTAGATAAGTTGGCAGAGAGTTGGAAGTTCTTTAGAACTTGACTCTTCCAGTCCATGAGTATGACCTCGTTCTCATTTACTTAGATGTTTTCTTAATATTTTGATTTTCTGTAAAGGCCTTATATATCTTGATTTTATTCCTTGGTATTTCATACTTTTATGCTTTTGTTAATGGTATCTTTTAGAATTATATTTTGTTTGCTGGCATACAGAATGCAGTTGAATTTTATATTTTTACATGAGGATATTACCAAACTCGTTAATTCTAATAATTTATCTGTAGAATCTTTTTTAATTTTTACAGTGATGTTTAGAAGCTCCAGTACTATGTTATTCTGAATAGCAGTATGATAGAGGACATCACTTTCTTGTTCTTGATCTAAAAGGACAGAGTGCTCACTGTTTGAGTATAGTGTTTTCTTCAGGTTTTTTGTAGATACTTTTAATTAGGTTAAAGAAGTTCCCACCTATTTGTTGTTATGCTGAATTTTCATCATGACAAATTTTAGAATGTTACGTGTATGTGATATTGGTACAACAGTTTCCTCTTGTCTTGTTTAGGAGTTTTGCAACTGTTTATGGGTGAGATTAAATTACACTTTTATCTTTATAGTCCCATTAGGTTTTGGTATCCAAACCTTGAAATAGGAGTTGGAAACTCTTCTCAGAAATATGTTTTTTTCCCCCTCTATACTGTAGAATAATTGTGTTACACTGGGATTACCTATCCTTAGAATGTTTAGTAGAATTCGCAGATTGTTGTGTTTTGTGTGGAAAGATTGTGATTTGACTTCAAGTTTGTTCTGTTCTTTTAAGTTGCTTAGCTCTTCACTTTTAGCTTTTTTAAAAAAAATATATAAGCATTTAAGACTGTATGTTTTCTTCTGAACATCACTTAGCTGTAATTCTGCAACTATTGATATGGGTACATTGTTTAACATCCTACATTGCTCTGTTAGGGTCCAGGTTTTTTTCTTAAATATCTGAATAAATTGGACAAAGGATTGTTATCAACGACTATTCATTTAAGCACCTTATTTGAACACTGGCAAACCACTGTGCCAGATGCCATTGTTCGTACATAAGTGAATAGGGTTAAAAAGTCTAGTGGTGGTATGTGGAAAAATGGCTTAAGATTTAACATTAAAAAATACACAGTATTCAATTAAATGAAGACTGTTGGTGAATGTTAGAGTGTAAAAGAATTCAAGTTGATCATCTGTTCCCTGCCTTACCCCCAATGCAAGAGAGACATTGAACCGAAAAATTGAATGACATCATCATGGTAAATATGTGTAATAGCATCAGGCTCTCAAACTATGCCAGAGAAATCTTTTGGTAACACACAGTTTTTCCTAGGTGTGAGGATGCCTTAAGAAAAAATAAGAGCTTAATTGGGCCAGATCAAAAGGAGTATCAAAGGGAACTGGAGAGAAACTATCATCGCCTTAAAGAGGCCTTACAGCCTCTGATAAACAGAAAGATCCCGCAATTATACAAGGCAGTATTACCTGTCACCTGCCACAGGTATGCTCATTTTTGCCTATTATTTGGGGTATCTTCAGGAAAATGAAATCTGCTTGGTTTAGTAATAATGAATTTGTGTAACTTTTATTACATGGTTTCAGATATTGTCTCTTGAAACCTAACAAGTTCAGCTAGCCTCTTATGAATAACCCTATTATGAATCAGCCTTCAAGACCGAAGTCAGTTCTTTCTGTAATTTGAGAATAACAAAGTTGTGTTAAATATGCATACTAACCAAGACACAACACGTAAGTCTAGCCTCCTAAAACTATTTCTTTTAAAGTCCTGTCACACTTTATTTGTATGGGAGAATTTACTAGAATGTATCAGGAGCCAGCTACTCATTTTCCTCAGCCCTAACAGTAAATAGTATTAGAGTATGTTCTTCTGGATTTATATTAAAGCAGGCAACCCCACTGAGTATCAAAAGGGCTTCAGTATTTTTCTCCACTAATTGCGACGAATAAAATAATACTTACCTTTAAGAGGTTGTTATAGAAATTAAATTTTAGGCATGTAAAGTTCCAAGCAGTGTTTTAACATTTTACTTTAGCACCTGAATTCTGGAGAGTGCATGATAACTGCTGAACGTTAACTGCCCTTTTTTTGCATATTGAAATCCAAATATACATACAACCATTGATTATTTTACCACCCTTTTCTTTGAACTAGCAACAGTAAAGCTATTAAATTGTACTAAGTTGTACTTAATTCTTACAAATGGGTTATTTTATAAAGTAATAATTTGAAATCTTAATTTCTAATATGGTAAATGTCCGTTTGAATCCACATAAACAAAAGCTTCCTGGGGTCGTCAGTTTTTTTTTTTTTTTTTTGGTGTTATGAAACTAGTAAATTAAGGATCAGAGTTTCCTGTTTTGCTTAATTATCTGTTTCATTTGTGACTTATTTTACATATCCTTTAGCCTTTCTAGTAAGAACTCAATATAGGAAAAGTAAGTGTAAGACAGATTAGGCTTAAAGAGAATTCAGAGGTTTTTAAATACTTATGTGAGACTGTGTATATAGGCACTACCACAAAATCCTTCGGAAACATCTTGGTGTTTTTTTTTAAAGATTTATTTATTTATTTGAGGGGAGGTAGGGGCAGGGGAGAGCGAGAATCTTAAGCAGGCCTAACACAGGGCTCGATCTAATGACCCTGAGATCGGGACCTGAGCCGAAACCAAGCATCAGACGCTTAACCAAAGGCACCACCCAGGCACCCCCTTCTGAAACATCCTTGTAAATAAATTGTAAGAATTGCATAGAAAGCTTCCAAATATTTTATCTTTATTGAAGGAATTTGTGCTCAAATGTGCTGTGTAAGAGTTCAGATAGTCTTAGTGTACTTTGTACTTGAATGTGTGGTTAATGTATGCAGCGGGTGGTTTGGGGATTTGAGAATAACCAACTCGTGTCACATTTTTTCTTATCTCTCATGCACTTTTCCCTTTCTGTTCCATTTTTTGTTACTCTTCCACATAGAAGTATTTTTATCGAGAGAGGGACACCCATTGTAAATTGTCTGCCTCAGGGCTTCTGCATGGTCTTGCCATTTACTGAGTCCTCTATGCCGGGTGCTATGTACTTGGCTCCTAACTTTTATGACCTCATTGATAATATGTATAAAGATTGTATGAAGGCAAATGCTAAATAAAAATGTTAATGTTATTTTTAAATTTAACTTTATTTGATATGCTATAATTTCAGAATAATTAAGACACAGTTCTTGTTATACAAAGCATCTTTTCTTTCAATAAGGAAAATGATTTATCTCACAGTATAGGGACTTAAAAACATAGACCAATGTGAGGTAGTCACTTGGTACAAACTCTGAAAAACATAAAACATATGTGATTCAGTCACTTGATAAAAGCCCTAATTGCAGAATGTTATTTGTTAGAAATACCGAAAAAGAAAGAATATTTACTTTGTTTTTACCTTCATTTGAGAAACAGTAAAATTTTGTAATTTTGAATGAAATCTTTTTGCAGTGTTTTGAGAATTTTATGCTATAGCAATGTAAACATAATGTGAAAAACAAAAAAAAACTTTGTATTGAAGTTTCTTTGTTTTCCTACGCCTAGGATGGTAAGCGGATGTTTGGCACCTATTTTCGTGTTGGTTTTTATGGAACCAAGTTCGGGGATTTGGATGAACAGGAATTTGTTTACAAGGAGCCTGCAATAACCAAACTTGCAGAGATCTCTCACAGATTGGAGGTGAATGCTGTGGTAGTTTATAAATGTCATCTTTAATTTGTATTCTCTATGATGAATTGACTTTCAGATCCAGATCGAATCATTTAATAAGCCAGATCCTGCCAAATAAACTACTCCTTTAGAAACTAAGGATTTTTTGATAGCTACAGTAATAATCTTTCAAATCCTTCAAATCTTCTATGGCAACAGTAAAATAATATAAACTTTTTTTGAGGCTCTTTTTTCACACATGTTTTATTTTATTTTATTTTTTATTTTTTTAAAGATTTTA